CCTCTCACTAGTATATAAGTTCCAAGAGGACACAATCTTTACTTTCTCCTGTATCTTCCAATACCTGTGACAGTGCCTGGCATATAGTGGATGCTCAATAAATACCTGTTGCATGAATAAATAGCTAGCATTAATTGAGTATCTATTACATACCAGGCACCATTATAGATGCTTCCCATGAACGAACTCATTTTAACTTTCACAACCAATGCTGAGACAGGCACTGCTATTATCCCAATTTTATCAATGAAGAAACTGGATCAGGAGCACAGAGATATTAAGTAACTTGTTTAATATGTGATGAATTCAGGATTTCAACCTATATGATCTAACTCCCAAACCTGCTTCTGTAATCACTGTCCTACACTGAAGCTCAGAGAGGTTAAGTAACTTGCACAGAGTTATGCAGCTTAAGACTGGCAGAGCCATAATTGGAACCAAGGTCCGTCTGTCTCAGAGCTGTTGCCCGTTCCTCTGCACTTCACAGCTTCATAAGATTACCAAGATAACTATTTCTTCCGTCACCATTTTACCAAGGACTAGTCTTCTGAGATAAAGAAATGAGTGTGGTTCATTAAGGATTCATATAAAGGTAACAGACATCGCCCAAAAGAATTATAAGTCCCAAAAGATCACCAGTTTTGCCACCTGCTCTCATTGTTGGTATTTTGGAGGGGACTGAGAGAAGCAGCTGGCAGATGAGTCATGGGAAACCCCTGGTGGATCCATGTATGCTGAGACCTAGGTATTGAGGGTAAGTCACTTTCATGCCAGGCAAATCCTGACCCATGCTGCCCTAGATAACTCTGGAGTAGGGATGGTGCAGAGATGCTGATAAAGCATTTCTAAGAGACGGCTTCATAATTCATTGTGTGACCTTGTGCAAGACACTGCCTCCCTTTGTGTCACAGTTTCTTTATGATAGGGAAGCGTCAGTGGAATTCTGTGTTGAATCAGAAGAGGTCCACTTTATCTCTTTTACATATTAGACTTTTCCACATAAAATTTCATATAGGAGGAAGGATTCTACACTAAAAACTATGCTTGAAAAACCACTGAATAAAATAGTCTTTCAGTTCCTTCTAGCTCAAACATTCTAAGAATCTAAAAACATAAACACAGTCCTTTGGGTCAGGTCAGGGTTCCATTCAGCCCCACTTTCTGCAGCCGGGATCGGGCACTGGGGATCCACTGTGAAAGGTCACTCACACGTCCCCTATGTCCTAGTCTCTCTCAGAGGCTGTTTAACCCTGTCCTCAACTGACAGGTGTCTTCCCCATCGGACCTTCTACTTATGTTACTTGTATATGTTGAGATAGAACAAGGGTAACTGTGCACAATAGTATTTACAGGACAGCTGCAACTGTTTTATATGAAGGGAATAGAACATTTACTGATTTCCTTCTAACACTGTTCTTGTTGATGTCCACCACTGTGGGTCTGCCTCTTGGACCACAGTAGCCCAGTGCTCCCTGAGGGTTGCTGCTGATCTAGAATACTCCTAAGTCCCTTGCCTGAGCCACAACCAAACCTGTAAGCTTAGTTTGGAACTTTTTACTTTTTATTTTCACAGGGTTCCCTCATACCTGCTCACTCACGCATTTTGATAAGGTCCACCTTTGTTTCATTCTGCTTGTCATCATACATAGGCTTAAAGATTTCACTGGGTACTCCTTCCTGGAGTCTGGGTTTCACATACACAATATGATTCCCTTCTTATAAAGTTTTAAAACAAGCAAAACTAACATTATATTATTTAGGTGTGTGTGTGTTTGTATCTTTTTAAAAGACCAAGTAATGATAAATACAAAATTCAGGAGAGTAGTTACCTCTGAGCAAGGGAGGGGTCAAAACAGGGAGATAGAATAGAGGAGGAAGACATAGCTCAAACTAAGTTATCAGTAATGTTATAGCTCTTGGGCTGGATGATGGTTTTATGAGTATTCATTATATTTTACATAAATAAATCAATAAAATATGAAAGGTCCATATATGAACCAGTAATGATTAATTAATTCTGTACCCGTGAGGTTCAAAAACAGTGATTACAAGAGCAATACAAAATTTTTTTATTAAACAGAATCTTACCACCAGAACATACTAACGTTTATTTTCTATCTCTTCCAATATATCAAGGGCTTTTTGAAACTCTAAGTGATCTGTTTTGCCTCTCTCCAAGTTTATTTCTCCCTCAATTACTAACCATAATTTAGTCAGGTTGGGGTTGCGGCTCTCCTTGTTGAAAATATGTTGCATTCCCCAGGAGGCTATTTTTGTACAGGGTTCATGGATCCTCATCTTTTCTTGGGCCTTGCATGCTAGTTGGTATGAATCTAAGAATTACTGGCTACTTCCTGAATCATTTGGGGTGAGGGGCCATGACGGCTTGTTCCAGCCTTCCAGCTTCATGACCATTAATAAGGACAGGTCCTTTCTAGGGTTGCCAGATACAATTCAGGATCCCCAGTTAAATTAGAATTTTAAATAAAAACCAAATAATTTTTATTATATGTATGAATTTGAGGCATACTTATACTAAAAAATAATTTGTTATTTATCTGAAATTCAAATTTAATTGGACATTCTATATTTTTATTTGCTAAACCTGGAAGCCCAACTCATTTGGGCCAATAACTACTCTTTAGTATCATTATTGGTTTTCGATCACAGGGAGTGTTAGTTTTGAAGTCAGACAGACTTGGGTTCAAATCCTGGCTCCTCTACTCAAGAGATAGAACATTTTTTGTCTCAAAATTCTTAGCTATTAAATATAAATAATGGAAATATCTCATGAGATTGTTGGTAATATTAAATGAGATAATATTTGTATAGTATTTAACACAGTGCCTGGTACCTACTAAGCACTCAGTGGCTGTAATCATTATTACTGTCAATTTTATTCAGAACATTATGTGTGCTGCCAAAGATTTGATCTGGTACTGCAAAACTCTCCATTTATAGGATTAATTTCGGTATAGGACTCTCCTTAGTGTCTCCTTTGGTGATGACCAAGACAAAGTGCCATCTAGTCACTTTCTTTTTGTTTCCGAACACTCCCTTTGGCCCCCTGTCATGAAGTGCCCCAGAATCATTCCCTAGTTGGCTTTCTCCTTTTACTATAAAGACTTCTTGGTGCATATGTTTGGGGGTCACTTAGAATTCCTCAAATTGAAGGCTATTGTCTTCCCTGATGAAGCAGCTTGAGTGACTGATAATCACCTTTGAAATTCTACCCTCAAGCCAATGACTAATGAATTTGGCTGATAAGAGAGCAGCCCTAATCAATACAAGTTTCAAGAGAATGCAGGGAAAGCAAGATACCACAGATACTGAGAACTCCGTTTCTCACAATGAGGTCAAGACATGAATTAAATTGGTTTTCCACTCGTCTTCATCCTATTTTCCATGCCTTTCTTCTTTTTGGTGCCCAATGCCTTCACTGTTTCTCCTCTCAGGGAGGACTCCAGAACCTTTACATTCTCTTCCCTGACTCACTCATTTCCATGAAAACTTTCCCACCTGCTTTCCCACTTGTCATGGAGTCTAATCAAACATATTAATTCACCTTAACATGCTAACAGCTGAAAAAGATTCTACTTCATCCCTCTCCCAAGCCACAGACTTTTTTTAACACCCTAAACCTGAAGAAGTAAGCCAAACAGTAGCTTCCTAGCAGGTAAGGGAGATGATGCAGGACCCCTTAAATCATACCACATTATCAGCTGCCTCTTCTGTCTGCTTCGCATGAATGGAAGGGAGCAGTAGTGCAGATAATCTAAAGATCATTTCCACTTGGTTTGGGAATGCAGCACATGGTGTTGTTGTAGTTGATTTGCTTTGCTAATTATGTTCTACTTAAGCTAATATTGAAACTGGTTTATATTTTTTAAGCTCATCTGGGCCAGAACAGGGAAGAGGTGGTGGTGTGGCCCACTTTGAAATGAAGGAAAGCTGACCACGATCATGAGGGGGACATGAAAGTTCTATATGTGGGCTAATAGATCTAGAAATATAAAAATATCAAGATAGAACTTTGCCATTTATGCTTGGACAGAATAGGCCGACCTACCTTGTAACTCGCTGGGCACTGCAAGGCGTCTTCCCTATGGCCTACCCAGAATCTGAAATCCTCTTCATTAGTAGCCTACGTTAAGGGTCATAATCATAACTATGTTAAAGCATTATGTAGCCTAAGAGGAGTAACACATTTCCTAGCAGACACATTAGAAGTTTGTCTGACTAAATCATCAGTCATTATTGTCACCTAGTTGAAAAAACACCAAAGAGGTGGGACACAAGACAGTTGTACCTTGATAGAGGCGTGGGTACACTAAGAGGCCTCTGGGCAGCTATGGTGAAAGTACAAGAACATAGAGTGCTTTGGGGTGAGCTGGGAGGGTTGCTGAAAGAGGGTAAAACAACCTTCACCTCTTTCCTTCCCATAATTTCTTAGTTTCTTGCTCATGGTAGACATAGAGAGTATTCAACTCAATCAAATAAATTCTTTTTTTATTTTACAGTCTTTTTAAACTTAATTTTTTATTGAGGTAACATTTGTTTATAAAATTACGTAAATTGCAGGTGTGTATCATTATATTTTGAATTCTGTACAGACTACATCATGTTCACCACCCAAAGACTAATTACCATCTGTACACATATGCCCTATTATCACTTTTGCCCTCCTCTCTCCCACCCCTTCCCCTCTGGAAACCACCAATCTAATCTCTATGTCTATGTGTTTGTTGTTACTGTTGTTTTTATTTTCTACTTATGAGTGAATAAATTCTTCCCTTCCTTACTCTTCTCCTACTTGGCAACTAGGCTGTCAACAGCTTCTAGAGATTTCAGAGATCTTGGTTTTCTTTTGAGGCATGTCATTTAGAACCAAAGCCTAACTATATGGTCAAAGCCTAAGTATATATGGTGTTTCCAACCCTCCAAGATGCAACAAGGGACAATGGGACTATTGAAATTTCTTTCTCTTTTTCTCATTGCAGTCTGCTCCCAGTTCTCGAGAGGAGTATATGCTATCTTTGGATTTTATGACCAGATGTCAATGAACACTCTGACCTCCTTCTGTGGGGCCCTGCACACGTCCTTTGTCACGCCTAGCTTCCCCACTGACGCAGACGTGCAGTTTGTCATCCAGATGCGTCCAGCTTTGAAGGGCGCTATTCTGAGTCTTCTGGGTCACTACAAGTGGGAGAAGTTTGTGTACCTCTACGATACAGAAAGAGGTAAGAAGAGGTATCTGCTCTCCTCTTTGAATATTCACGTAACAGTGGTATCCAACCTTCCCCAAATCACGTTTGTTTCCTTCTCTTCCAATAAATAAAATCTGATAGTCTTTAAATTGTGTCTAATATTCAAAATGAGTTGAAGATTAATACTAAAATATTGAACGAATAGTAATTTTAAAATCTAATTTTTTCAAACTTCCTCCCACCCCCGACTCTGAAAAGGGGCTTGAAATACCCTCCTGGTTGAGTCACTGTTATTGAAAAAGAATGCTGTCCCCCAAAAATAATTTATCTAGCCTAAAATACACGAAGTAAAAGCAGCTTAGTCTAAAATAGAGAGAGGCCTAAACTGGAAAGTTTTGGAAAATTAATCCTGTCAGAGACTATAATTATCCCCATTTCATAGATGAGAAAACTGAAGCCCAAAGAGGAAAAGTGTGTTTTCACAGTGGTTTAACCACAGAGCTAGAACTGGTGTCATTGTCTCTTGCTTCCAGAGCTTGTTCCACCAGATCACATTAGATCTTCAGATTATAGGGCTTCAATATTTATGTGGTGGAAATAATGAGCGGAGGCCGGCCAAACTGGGCTTCAGAAATGGATGGTTTTTCTAATAGTGAGGTAATATATTGAGGACACATATTAAAACAGTCTCATCAATTAGGGGTCTGATCTTCAATAGTATACAGTTACGTGCACATATCATAACTCAGCTAAACAGACTCCTCTAAAACCCAGTTATCTTTGAGGGGTTCCTCAGTAAAACAAGGAGATCCTATCACTATGAGATTCCAAAAGACAATGTTACTTTATCATTTGTTTGCCTCCAACCCTGGTTATAAGCTGGGAATGGTTCTCTCTGACTCAGGGTTTTCTTACTCAGAAAAGGGAGGAGCAAATGGAAGGCCTGTCTTCCTGAGGGAGTCCCTGGAAAGGACGGCATTCTAGGTAACTTAACTTGAAGGGCCATTTTGGTTTGGGGGAACCTAGAGTACTCTTCACTCCACTCTCATTATGATGCATCACCAAACCCTGTCAGGAAATACTATGGCCTGTATTTACCTATGGTACTTACCGCCAAGATTTTATCAAATTTCAGGAACCTGAAGCTGGAGACCAGAGTTATAGTTCAAGCTCTGCTACTAACTAGCTCTCTGAACTTGTCCAATTTATTGAGACTCTCTTGGCCTTGGTCTCCTCACCAAAGGTGTGCCCTGTCTTAATGTAATAGTTCGTGATTTTTGTGAGATATTATCCCCGACACAGGACACTTTGTATCTTGCTACTAATCCCAATTTATATATTATCAGTTAGTCAACCAGTTCTACAAGATGTTATCAATCCCCAATGGTGTATTCAAAGCTTGTGATGGGAGCTTATATAATATAATGGGGGTAGATAGAAGAGGATATTCATAAAACAATTCATGAACAGCACAGGACAGTCTCAAACTGAGCACTCCACTACAGACTCTGATTGCTGTAAGAATTGTGAAAAGGCAGAGTTTTGAGAAAAGGCTAGAGGAGCTAGGTCTTGAAGGATATTTAAGTTTTGGGTTGCAAGAGAAGAGGGAGATGGGGTTTTGGGAAGAGGAAGAGAACATTAACAAGGGGCGGAATCAGGAAGGAGTGCTGTGTTCCTGCGCAGCCTTGCCTGCCTAGGGTACCAAAATAGTTTGAACACTTTAATTCATAATTTGCTAAATTTTAACACATTTCATTTCTTTCAAACACTGGGGATGAATTAGCCTATTTCCATGTGCTGTATACAGTGTAATATACTGCATAACAATCTAATTTTTAGAACTGATGTTTGTAAATCAGACAGCTTCTCTCTGAAACTTTTTTTTTTTTTTTTTTTTTTTTTTTTTAAAGATTTTATTTTTTCCTTTTTTCTCCCCAAAGCCCTCCGGTACATAGTTGTGTATTCTTCGTTGTGGGTCCTTCTAGTTGTGGCATGTGGGACGCTGCCTCAGCGTGGTTTGATGAGCAGTGCCATGTCCGCGCCCAGGATTCGAACTAACGAAACACTGGGCCGCCTGCAGCGGAGCGCGCGAACTTAACCACTCGGCCACGGGGCCAGCCCCATTCTCTCTGAAACTTTTGAAAACTAAATATCAGTACTACTAATACTGTAACCTCTCATCTATTCAAAAGCAGGAGATATAGTTAATGTATTTTCTTCTCATCTCCCATGATTCTTATTTGCTTATTAGCTCTCTATTAGAGGAAAGGAAGCAGAAGTCCATCTATGTCTATTTCTTATCCCTGCTCTTTTCTCAAATCATCTCACTAAATAGCTTGGACAATTCTATGATCTTGCAGCCAAAAGAAACCTTTCTGACTCATGTGTGTTCACATTTTTCCTCTGGAGCCATTTAGCTGGTGGGACTAATCTTCTCTACTTAAGAAATACGTTCCATAAACTTTTAATACTAATTCCCCCTTGGAAAGCCTTCTTAAAACACTGCATGACCTTGTTCCAAAATTTTCAATGGCTTCTATTGCCCACATTGAAAAAAAAGTACTCTATTCTTCAAGACTCAACATAATTATGCCTCAACTAACTAACAGATCTGTTGTCCCTGTGTTACCTAATGAGAACCTTCCTCTGCAGGCAACTCCCATTTTCCACTCTTGCCCAAATGTCCCAGAACCGTTCTTACCTCAGCAACTTCGCTTCTACTACTACCTGGAATTCTCTCCTTCATTGTGATTATGATAATCCTGCCTATCCTTTCATTTTTCAAAACCCACTTCAAACTCTACCTCCCCAAGGTAGTCCTCCCTGACCACTCCAGCTCACAATGATTCATTCATTCATTCAGTAGGTGCCAGGGTTAAAATGATAAACAAGATAGACATGGATACTGCTATTATAAAGCTTAAATTCTGGTGAGGGAGAGAGAAAAAACAAGTAAACCAACAAATAAAATAATTACACATTTAGGCAAGGTGCTGTGAAAGAAGCAAAGAAACAGTTACTAATACTAATGAGTAGGACCTAATTTTAAAAGAATTCTCAGTGATGGCCTCATTGAGAGGGGGCATTCAAGCTGGGAACTAAAGGATTAGAAAGAGATAGCTATGTGAAGAATAGAGGGAAAGAGTTTTAAGTAATGAAAATAGCAAGTGCAAAGGTCCTGTGGCAGGGAAGAGCTTGGGGTGTTTGAGAAATGAAAGAAGACAAGTGTGGCTAAAAGGTGGTGAGGAGGTTAAGTGAGATGAGACTGCAGAGGTAGACAGGAGCCAGATCAAAGCCATGGAGCATGGACAGGAGCCATGTTAAGGAGTATGAATTTTATTTTAACTGCAAAGAGAGGTCATTGGAGGATTCTGAGCAGGGGAGTCATATGATCGCTTTTAGCTTTCTGTAGAGAATGGAGTATGGTTCACGAGTGAAGGAAGGGAACCAATTAAAAGTCCATTGTGGTCATCTAGGTGAGAAATGATGGCAGCTTACACTAGGCTGGAGATGGAGAAGAGTGGATGGAGTTGAAATATATTTTGGACACAGAATTGACAGAACTGGGGGACAGATTGACTGTGGGATGTGAGGCAAAAGAAGGTTTCACGGATGACTACTAAGCTTTTGGCTTGAGAGACTGGGTAAGATGGTGATTCCATTTACTGAGGTGACTAGGCAGGAGGAGAACCAGTTTTGAGGAGCAGAGATCTTGCCCGCCTTTGAATGCCCACAGAACTCTTTTGTCCATGTCATTCATTTGGCACTTAACATAACTGCTTTCCAGTGTTATTTTACTTTTACGGGGTCTGCTATCTTCCTTCCCAAGCCCTTCTCTCCAGCGTGATAATAAACAATTGCTTAGCCCCTAGGTTTATACTTTGTGCCTACCCTGGTATATAGCACAGGCCTAGGTATATACATAGTGTTTTCCAACTCCATTATTGATTCATCAAGAATAAGCTGATGTGGTTTTTTTTAATGTTGGGCTGAAAGAGAGAAAAACAAAGAAGGGAAGGAAGGGAGGGAGGAAGGAAAGGGAAAGGAAGGAAGAAAGAGGTGAGGGAGAAAGAGGGAAGAAAGAAAGGAAAAAAGGAAAGAAGGGAGGGAGGAAGAGCAAACTCAGTTTATAAATCAAATTATGTGGTATGATTCTTCAAAATATTCGATAAAGTATTCTGTATCTTCTAATTTTCTACAATGATCATCTATTGCTTTAGTAATAAAAATTATGGGGAGAAATTACAACTGCAAAATATAATTTTAGAATATTTTAAATTATGTAAGAGAGAAATGGAAGACAGAGACAGAAGGGAACACATATAATTACATTGAAATAAGCTAAATATACAAATGATGTGACTCCACTGGATAAGGGCAGGGATGAGTGAGGAGCTGAGAAATGGGTTAAACATTTGAGGTCATTTAAAAGATTTGTAGCACAATCAGAGTAATATTATCTCTGAAATTATGAAACATTGAGTGGATTCAAGGCTTGGTTGGTTACACTTTGATTTCTGTCTGCAGAGAAAGGTCTGAGTTTGTGTTTACACGTCATCAGTTTGCTTAGTTACTAAGATACCATCTTGGTTCATTAAGGAAAGTTTAAAGTTATGCTCTTGGGGCTATATAGATAAAAAGGCAGTCCTTGGAAAAATTATGAGGTTGACTAAGTGTGATATTTGCCCCCCCTGTACCCTCTCCTCTTTATTGACACCACTTTTTTATTTACCCAGGGCTTCGCACTATGGCACATGTCTACACCGGCCCTCCCTGGCAGGAGCAAAGCCTCAATATCTCTGATCCAACCTGCCTCTACACCTCCATAAAAACTTTCCTGTCCTACATTTCGTTTCTACTGATTAATAGTCTTTCTCTACTAGTGACAACAGTTCAGTTGACCAATTTATTCATGCTAATATAAATATGGCTATTAATGACTTGATGTGTTAGTGCATCCAGGGAAGAAATTTCTATTCAGGTAGGGGCCTTCTGTGGAACAGAACTCTAATCCAAAGTGTGGCTTTATAATT